GACAAAGAGCATTTCCTTCCATTGAAAACTGCAAAACATTGTCAGACAATCTTTCAGTCTTTAAATGTCTACAATCAGAGATGAGGCTTGGTAGGATTATTCATGACCCAATTTGTAGAAAGCCTCAAGAGATGTCTGTCGGTGCGTGGGTGGGTCCAAACACGTTGACAAATGATTGACTCTTTGACAACTGGATATCACACTGTATGACAAACATTAATACCCTTTGGCATCTAATAACGTGATTTGATTTAACGGCAATTGTTCCACAGCGTCTGTCTTGTGGAGCGCTGATCTATCGAAGCCAGGTGGGATTTAACAGTGGATTTATTTGAAAAACAAGTCAAGGACGCACGTATTTATGTATTTGTAGAATTGGTTGTGGATCGATTACACTTTAGGCTAAAAAGTTGTCTTTGAACTGAGATTATGTTCATATTTATTTTGTTAAATTGTCTTTTGAAATAAATTAGAAATCAGAGCAGGGAATTTGGCTTTCAACAAACATTAAACTGTCAATCGGTTATATAACTGAAATACCGTCGTTAGGTCCATCTTGCTTTTGGATCAATGGTGTGGTTGAAGATTTTGTTTTCCATAATATAAATTGAATCATATACCGCATATATTTCAAAAGACGTTTTAGAGTTAACCGAAAGCATTACCGCAGTAAATGGAGTTTTACGAAATTGTGGACTGTTTATTCCAGTTCAGGTCGCAACACACGTCATGTACTCAGCTGACTTGATATCATTCAGTGAGTCCCCGTTAATCCATGCGTCGTCGCATTCTCCAGATCATCATCATCATCATCATCATAATCATCATCATCACTAGAATGTTTATTTGTTTGTTGTTTAACGCCGCACTCAGCAATATTCCAGCAATATGAAGGCGGTCTGTAAATAATCGAGTCTGGACTAAACAGTCCAGTGATTGACATCATGAGCATCGATCTACGCAATTGGTGTACGATGACATGCAGTAACCAAGTCAGCGAGCTACTAGTCCTACTACTAATCACCATCACCATAATCATCATCATCATCATATAAAAGCATGCTGGACACGTGAATTACCCAACATCTAGGTCTGATCATCCCTCCGAGAATATCCCACAGTTGCCATCATCTCAATTGCAGAAATTACATTCAGACTGTCAGCTTAGACAAAAACACGCTCGCGTGCTTTGAGGCCACAAGCCATCGCATCCATGTATAGGCCTCGGTAAACCTCAACTGAGCATTAATCGAAGGAACATTCACCTTGAGACCAAAACAACGTTGCCTTTTACACGCTGTATCCGCACGCAGCCACTTGGTGTCCCAGTTTCAGTGACTGCAGTAGCTGAAGGCGGGACTCAGTTAATGAAGTGTCCCATCTGATTGTATCAACACAAGCTGCCTCAAACAAACACAGTTCCAAGGAAGTTAGATCCAAGGCAGCCAACAACTTAGGATCAATGCTGTTGATTGTTAAGGTGACCCTCTCCACTGACTAGGGGGAGGGTGGTGGGCGAATCTTGACGAACTATCGGACCCCCAGTAATGCCAGTGGTTTCTGTTATGTATTACCTACAAGGAACCCGTGAAGATCCAGGTAGGTCTTCAGCAACCCATGCTTGCCGTAAAGGGCGGAATTGTTGACGTCATTCGTTTCTTATTGTGACGTAAAGTCGGAATGACGTCACACTAGAAACGACGTCATAGCTGAAGATTGCCGACGTCATTTGACAAATTGTGGTTCCGCTGCTGTTTTGACTTGCTGTCTAAAGGTAAACACTGAAATTCGTCTCTGTTTGCAGATATCTTCTTCGGTAATAAATAGAACATTATATTCGTGTTCATGTCATATATGTTTACGACACTCGTGCCTACATTCCGGTATTTAGACACTCGTAAACATAGTATGTCATGAACACTCATATAATAACCTCTATATATTGCTGATGTATTGTAGTCTAAAGGATGCTATCTTAACCTGTTGGTGTCCATCCATCGTCAGTGATCGAGAAGCAGGGAGGTCAGCTGTAGGTACGGAGCGTCAGTGGCGCAAGTCGTAGATGCTTACTAGTTGTGAGGACAGACCCTGATACAGCAAGTATCTGGTTGGGGTGAATTAAGGATTCCAACTTACGAGCAGCGGATACTGACACTTCTAAGGGACACAACTGCACACAGCGAATTGCGAAGTTTTGGACCAAGATGCCGACCAAACGTTCGACCTCTCTCCCGACACCTCTAGTCACACCTCTGTCAAAACATCTGTTGCTCGAAATCCTTCTCATGACCCCTGAGTCCGACACCTCTGTCCCGACACCTGTCTCATGACACCTCTAACAGACACCTCTCTCAGGAGACCACCTCTCACACGATACCTCTGTCACAACAGTTCCCACCCGACACCCCTGTCCCGACACCTCTGTCATGACATCTCCCACAGACGCCTCTCTCATGGCATCCCTCACCCGACAATTCTCTCATGACACCTCTCCCCCGACACCTCTCTCATGACACCTCTCTACGACATAACTCTCCAAACATCTTCAAACTGAAAGGTTTTCCAACATGGTCTCAGTCAGTGGACTTCCTCATCTGTGTCATACACCGTACTGCTGTAATAAAACATGAATCATTAACTCAGCCCTCCCGACCACAAAAAAGCGAGACTGGAGCGATAAAAGATTCGCCAATTCACTTATAAACCTGCCGTAACTGAATTGCAAGCGCGAACACAGCCACGCATCAACAGCCCAGAAACCAAGCCAGACGCTGCCTAACAAAAATGATCGTTTAAGCATGTAAGACCCACATATACCATACCAAAATACAATCATTTGGACCAGACAATTTGTCCTGACTGCAGGTAGGCCGTATAACATCCCAAAATACAATCAACACAACTGGATAATTGCCTCTGACTGTCAGGGTTCTATAACAAAACCCGAAATATATCCGACATCTTGCTTGAACTGTGATTAACCCTCGTCCCACACGTTTCCGGGCCTGTCTGCAACGACACTCCGAGGATCGGTTGTCAGGAAGGTGTTATTTCAGGTCTGTATTTAGGGACGGGATGCTCCCTCCCCAGACAGCGGGCTGTCTCACAATAGGTTCGACTCCCCACCTGGGTATATTGATTGGAGCTCGTTCATTATGACCCCTGCCCCAGATCGCACGGCTGCTAATCAGTCATAGAAGACAAAACACGGTAGCCACAAAACCACTAGGGGTCTTAAATGGTGTGGTGTGGGGTGGAGGAGGATTAACGAATTGTTTGGCATGGGTTCAGGTCAGATGTATCGACATCTTTTCGGAAACAGCGATGCGTTTGGATGAATGGGTGAATCTTGTTTACTGCGACCTGTAAATGAGCGAGTCCGACAAACCAGTGGTTGATGTTATGAACACCGTTCAACTCCGTCTAAGGTGTCGTAATTCGCTGATTCGCACCTGCTTTGTACCGTACCCGTGTTCGTGGTAGCAAGCCAAGGAGTTTAAAGTTTTATCGATATATTTGATATTCCGCTTTCAATTCCCAAATTGGAACTATATGTTAACCTCGAAATCTATGCGTAAAAGAACCTAGAGTGAAACCAAGAAACAACAAACAAGTGGTGTACAATCAACATGTGTGTTGCAAAAATTAACCATGTTTACAAATCAATACAAATAACGGCACAGCAACTACAATGGCAGGACAGTGGACACAATAGTGTGGTGGTACAATATTCAATGGTGACAAATAATATGAAAGCAAAACCTTTGTCATGTGCAGTTCGTTCCTCAGAATGTTCTCAACGAGAGGTGCCTAATGTATTGGCTGTGTCACGTTTTTTGAGTCGTCCATAATCATGTCATGTATTTTATCAACATTTTCATTAGTGGTGGCAGTTGAAGGTCTTCCTGATCCTGTGTCTTCCTGATCCTCCGCTGCCCACACCTTAACAGCGGCAGAGGAAGGACCATCATTCCCTAAAGTTAACACCATGTCTGCATGGCTGGCTGTTGGAGCCTGTTCAGTTGGGGATACTTCATGACAGCACGTAGCCAGTTTTGCAAATACATGCGAACTATTAAGGGTGTACTCTACATAGTTAGGCTCAAATCACTTTAGCCAACTAGCGTCTCAGATGATTATTTCTGAATATATTTATAATCGCTTGAAAAGATTTTATTCGTTCATTGGCGCGAAGCCTCTAACGAGATCGTTACAGACAAAAGTCGACAAAGGTCATCGTATCTGCAGATTTCAAACCTACTTAAAGACAAATGGCGAATCATCAAGGTCATAGAGACAGACTGATAAGGTCATGAAGACGTATTTAGGTTCATCAAAGTCTCAAGATCCTCGCCAAGGTCATTCAGATTGATGAGGGCTAATCACGGTCATGGAAAGTACGTTGAAGCATCACGGAAACTAACTGCGTCTCGCCAAGATCATGGAGGCTAATACGTTCACCAAGGGCATGGAGGTTCACTACGGTCACCAGGGTCATGGAGGCTTAATATGGTCGCCAGTGTCATGGAGGCTAACTACGGTGACCAGGGTCCTGGAGGCTTACTACGGTGACCAGGGTCATGGAGGCTTAATATGGTCGCCAGGGTCATGGAGGCTAACTACGGTCGCCAGGATCATGGAGGCTAACTACGGTCGCCAGGGTCATGGAGGCTAACTACGGTCACCAGGGTCATGGAGGCTAACTACGGTCACCAGGGTAATGCTGGCCAACTACGGTCACCAGGGTCATGGAGACTAACTACGGTCACCAGGGTCATGGAGACTAACTACGGTCACCAGGGTCATGGAGGCTTAATGAGGTCGCCAGTGTCATGGAGGCTAACTACGGTCACCAGGGTCCTAGAGGCTAACTACGGTGACCAGGGTCATGGAGGCTTAATATGGTCGCCAGGGTCATGGAGGCTAACTACGGTCGCCAGGGTCATGGAGGCTAACTACGGTCGCCAGGGTCATGGAGGCTAACTACGGTCACCAGGGTCATGGAGGCTAACTACGGTCACCAGGGTAATGCTGGCCAACTACGGTCACCAGGGTCATGGAGACTAACTACGGTCACCAGGGTCGTGGAGACTAGCTGCGTCTCACCAGGGTCGTGGAGGCTAACTGCGTTCACCAGGGTCATGGAGGCTAACTACGGTCAACAGGGACATGGAGACTAACTACGGTCACCAGGGTCATGGAGGCTAACTACGGTCACCAGGGTCATGGAGACTAACTACGATCATCAGGGTCATGGAGACTAACTGCGTCTCACCAGGGTCATGGAGACTAACTGCGTCTCACCAGGGTCATGGAGATTAGCTGCGTCTAACAGAATTGTGGATACTAAACAGGGCTCACCATGGCATGGTTAAAGATGAGGGTTCGCCAAGATCACGAAGACAAATTGTGGAAATAGTCATAATTCTTCAGAATCCAACAAGATTCATTGAAACTGACAGACACTCAAGTGTCACAAGAAGCGAAGAATCGGAAGCCGTCCCCGTGCCGTGCCCAGTCCATACGTGGCATCCAGCTTAGCTTTGTGCTGTGATTTTATTCACAGACAGTCGTGAATGCTGATGCAGAGGCGACAATGGACTTCTCTCAGCATCACTTGTGACAGGTATAAAGTGAAAATACTAAAGTGAACACTTCATCTTTGATGGTAGCCGTCGTGGAAAGGCCAACTTCAAAGGGAAAGACGAGGGACATGGACGGTAATTGAATGATGGACATATTGCTTTCAAGTCATAACTGGTCCTTCATCGCGGTACAGGTCAGGGATCATTGGCCAGTGTCCAGCTCTGCTGTATTAGCTCGGATACAGGACACAGAACAAATCAGAGATTCAAGGTCGGAGTTAACTGATGGCCGAAAATAGTATTCCATATTAGCGACGAAGTGAGCGGTAGTAACGTCCGCTGAATGAGAAACACACATGATGCCTGGTGGCAGTATCTGATGTCTCATGATAATGTGTGACGATGATGTCTAACAGCGATGATGATAAATGCTGATGCTTGATTTATGATGTCTGATGATGTCTGTTGATGTCTGATGATGTCTACTGATGATGTCTGATGATGTCTGATAATGTCTACCGATGATATCTGATAATGTCTGGTGATGTCTACTAATGATGTCTACTGATGATATCTGATGATGTCTGATAATGTCTACCGATGATATCTGACGATGTCTGATGATGTCTACTGATGATGTCTGGTGATGTCTGATGATGTCGACTGATGGTAATGATTGATGATGTCTGATGATGTCTGATGATGTCTGATGATGTCTGGTTATGTCTGATGATGTCTACTGATGATAAAGATTGATCATGTCTGATGATGTCTACTGATTTTTTCTGGCGATGTCAGATAAATATCTGTGACGATGACATGTGATGACAGACATGATCAGATGATGCCCAGTGGTGCCTGACGATGCCTGTTTATGAAGATGTCTGCTTGGTTTTATAACAAGGCCTTATGGTGAAACCCAGGGTCATCATATGTAAAGTGTGAACGATTGGCAAACATCTATAGACACTCAGAATATTCGATGTCGGCGATGAAATTGGAAATCAATCAACAACTAAAATACGCAAGAAATCAAACGAAACATTTCTTTCAATCGCACATTTTACAAATATTGAGTTAGAACATCCAAATAATGAAATAGATATACAAGATATTGAAAGTAGGATTCGCCTTTACAAAAAAAACTACATATATTGGTTTGTCCTGGGAAGTTAAAAATCGATCCGAAATCGTGCGGATCTTGAATATTTTGAAATATACCACTGCTGCCAACATATTTTGTTATTTCTTGACGTTGTGCGAACAAAGGTGATACATTCGCTTACTTTCAAAGCGATAAAATTGCAGCACTAAATCACATCGTGTTTCACCGCACGTTCAGAGTGGCGTCGTATCCTTTACAGTCTCCAGTAGAGACTGAATACGTCATTGCAACTCTCTGTTTATATTTCAGATAAATTGCGATTTGAAAAACGTCCTGCAGTGTACCACCGTATTACGACCGATCCTCCAGACCGACATGAGTGAGACCCCCAATCTGCAGTTTGTCAGTTTGTGCCTGTACCGGTCAACCATGTTGGACATGACGCCATCATGGCTGGGGATCCCCGGGAGAGAGTTGCAAGATGTCGATAATTTTATTGGGATATTTCATTCCAGCTTTCGCCTGGGATAGTATGTCTACCACATGTCAAGGTACACGTGTGATGGATAGTGGTGCCGGTTTGTGGGGCTAGGTCACGGATGGGTGCACTGGCATCGAGGAACACCAGTCTTTCTAAATGTATTGATTCGTTGCCAAACACTATTCAAAGCAATGCATTGTTTGTTTGTTTGTTGTTTCACGCCGCACTCGTAATATTCGAACTATATGACGTCGGTCTGTTCATAATCAAGTCTGGACTACACAATCCAGTGATTGACATCATGAGCATCGATCCACGCAATTGGGATACGATGATATGCATCAACCAAGTCAGCGAGCCGGATCCCGTGAACCACCTCTTATGGCAAGCATGGGTTGCTTAATATGAATTCTCTACCCGGATCTTCACGGAGCAAAGAACACTTGACATAAAGAACCGAATCCGGGAAGGAATAATCATAATAACACACTACTAGTCCTACTTCTAATTATCATCACCATCATCATCATCATCATCATCATCATCATCATCATCATCATCATATAAAAGCATGCTAGACACATGAATTACCCAACATCTAGGCCTGATCATCCCTCCGAGAATATCCCACAGTTGCCATCATCTCAATTGCAGAAATTACATTCAGACTGTCAGCTTAGACAAAAACACGCTCGCGTGCTTTGTGGCCACAAGCCATCGCATCCATGTATAGGCCTCGGTCAACCTCAACTGAGCATTAATCGAAGGAACATTCACCTTGAGACCAAAACTAAGTTGCCTTTCTACACGCTGTATCCGCACGCAGCCACTTGGTGTCCCAGTTTCAGTGACTGCAGTAGCACAAGGCGGGACTCAGTTAATGAAGTGTCCCATCTGATTGTATCAACACAAGCTGCCTCAAACAAACACAGTTCCAAGGAAGTTAGATCCAAGGCAGCCAACAACTTAGGATCAATGCTGTTGATTGTTAAGGTGACCCTCTCCAATGACTAGGGGGAGGGGTGTGGGCGAGTCTTGAACTATCGGACCTCCAGTCATGCCAGTGGTTTCTGTTATGTATTACCTACAAGGAACCCGTGAAGATCCAGGTAGGTCTTCAGCAACCCATGCTTGCCGTAAAGGGCGACTATGCTTGTCGTAAGAGGTAGGTAGGGAAAACGTACCGGGGTTCAGACAAATCGTATATGCCCTAGGGTTATATCACGTCACGAGACAATAGTGTATTGTTTCCGTCATTCGGACGCCATTGTTGACGTCATTCGAATCTTATTGTGACGTAAGGTCGGAATGACGTCACACTAGAAACGACGTCATAGCTGAAGATTGCTGACGTCATTTGACAAATTGTGGTTCCGCTGCTGTTTTGACTTGCTGTCCAAAATTCGTCTCTGTCTGCAGACATCTTCTTCGGTAATAAATAGAACATTATATTCGTGTTCATGTCATATATGTTTACGACACTCGTGCCTAAATTCCGGTATTTAGACACTCGTAAACATAGTATGTCATGAACACTCATATAATAACCTCTATATATTGCTGATGTATTGTAGTCCAAAGGATGCTATCTTAACCTGTTGGTGTCCATCCATCGTCAGTGATCGAGAAGCAGGGAGGTCAGCTGTAGGTACGGAGCGTCAGTGGCGCAAGTCGTAGATGCTTACTAGTTGTGAGGACAGACCCTGATACAGCAAGTATCTGGTTGGGTCGAATTAAGGATTCCAACTTACGAGCAGCGGATACTGACACTTCTAAGGGACACAAATGCACACAGCGAATTGCGAAGTTTTGGACCAAGATGACGACACCTTTAGTCACACCTCTGTCAAAACATCTCTCGCTCGAAATCCTTCTCATGACCCCTGAGTCCGACACCTCTGTCCCGACACCTGTCTCATGACACCTCTAACAGACACCTCTCACAGGAGACCACCTCTCACCCGATACCTCTGTCAAAACAGCTCCCACCCGACACCCCTGTCTCGACACCTCTGTCATGACATCTCCCACCGACGCCTCTCTCATGGCACCCCTCACCCGACAATTCTCTCATGACACCTCTCCCCCGACACCTCTGTCCAGACACCTCTGTCATGACATCTCCCACAGACGCCTCTCTCATGGCACCCCTCACCCGACAATTCTCTCGTGACACCTCTCCCCCGACACCTCTCTCATGACACCTCTCTACGACATTACTCTCCTAACATCTTCAAACTGAAAGGTTTTCCAACATGGTCTCAGTCAGTGGACTTCCTCATCTGTGTCATACACCGTACTGCTGAAATAAAACATGAATCATTAACTCAGCCCTCCCGACCACAAAAAAGCGAGACTGGAGCGATAAAAGATTCGCCAATTCACTTATAAACCTGCTGTAACTGAATTGCAAGCGCGAACACAGCCACGCGTCAACAGCCCAGAAACCAAGCCAGACGCTGCCTAACAAAAATGATCGTTTAAGCATGTAAGACCCACATATACCATACCAAAATACAATCATTTGGACCAGACAATTTGTCCTGACTGCAAGTACGCCGTATAACATCCCAAAATACAATCAACACAACTGGATAATTGCCTCTGACTGTCAGGGTTCTATAACAAAACCCGAAATATATCCGACATCTTGCTTGAACTGTGATTGACCCTCGTCCCACACGTTTCCGGGCCTGTCTGCAACGACACTCAGAGGATCGGTTGTCAGGAAGGTGTTATTTCAGGTCTGTATTTAGGGACGGGATGCTCCCTCCCCAGACAGCGGGCTGTCTCACAATAGGTTCGACTCCCCACATGGGTATATTGATTGGAGCTCGTTCATTATGACCCCTGCCCCAGATCGAGCGGCTGCTAATCAGTCATTGAAGACAAAACACGGTAGCCACAAAACCACTAGGGGTCGTAAATGGTGTGGTGTGGGGTGGAGGAGGATAAACGAATTGTTTGGCATGGGTTCAGGTCAGAT